TTTTTTATTTATATATTTTACGGCTACTTCCAATGAAACATATACACCGTGTACACTATTAATGTGTGTTTATTGAGCCGTTCTTTTGCTCTCTATTGTCCATCGTTGCAAACTTGTTAATATCTGATCATTTAGGAAGTAAAAAGAAATGTAATACATTTTAAAATCACTGAATAGAAAACTTTAATGCTCAGATATTTTAAAAACAGGCTTTAAGGAAGCATGTAGGAAACATAAGTAAAAAAATAAACATACAGTTGAACTTTGTATATTTTGCTGTTTTGCCTGCCAAAGGAATTGTCATTTTGTTTAGGCACTCTTAAGGTAATCTGGAAATCGTTATTGCTAAATGAGGAAATCATACTGTCTGCCTGCCTGGACAGTGTGGCAAATGTATGTAAATTGACTAAACAGAATTGCAAATCATTTGGCAGGTACAACAGTAAACGTATATGTATTTTAAAAGCACATTTAGCTTGAGTTTTGCTTTAAAGGAGAACTATGGGGTTAAGGCTTTTCCCTATAGTTCTCCTTAGGGTAACGGGAGGACACAAACTAGTGTCCTCCTGTCACCCTAGGTTCAGTATACCTCGAGCTGTAGCTCGCGGTATACTGAGACGCCGCAGCTGAAGCGGATCCCGACAATTATGCCGGGATCCGCCCAGCTGCGTGACTGACAGTTGGCTCTGCCGATCTAGAGGCAGAGCCAGCTGTACCCGCCCCCTCCCCCGTCCGTTCCGCCAGTCAGCGCTGGCGGAGCGGGGAATCCAGCCCCTCCCCTCACAGCTCTCTGCCGTGACAGAATCGAGAGGTGAGCGAACGCCAATATGTGTTTGCTTACCTCCCGATCTACTGAGCCGACCTGTGACAGTCTCATTGTCACAGGTCGGCTAGAACTATGAGGTGAGTGAAAAGCACTCGCCTCATAGTTCTCCTTTAACAGATTGAGGGAGGCAATGTAATCATTTTATTAATTGGCACTAAGAAGCTAAGAATAGAGTTTTATATATCAAAGCACAGGGGACAACAGCATTCAGACATGTATTGATATAGCACCATCAATTTACGCAGCGCTATACATAAAATTAATTTTCATCAGTCCTTGCCCTGAAAGAACTTACAATCTAAGGGCCCTATCTCTCTTATGCATACAAACTAGATTATTATTATTATACAGGATTTATATAGCGCCAACAGTTTGCGCAGCGCTTTACAATATAGGACAGACATTACAATTGCAATACAATTCAAGACAAGATGGTAAGGAGGGCCCTGCCCCTGAGGGCTTACAATCTGAAAGAGGGAGGGGGAAGTGATACCTGAGGAGGTAGCTGTGTGGGGCTGAATTGTTTGAGAATGTGATGATTGATCCAATGAACTTACCAGCATAAAAAAAGGGCCATCTTTATTGCATCCTCTTTTAAAGAAATCATGTCCATACTTACCTATTTCAAGCAATGTTGAGCAGTGCATTATAGAGGATGGGTTACACCCAATGTATTAATCTTCCACGTTTTTGTGTTTTAAGGTCCTTGCTCTGGTGTTTATTCGCAAATTATTGGACTTCTGTTTCACCAAACGTGAGCTAAGCTGGTTGGATGATTTGATACCTGAAAGTAAGAAAAAGAAAGAGGATGATAAGAAGAAAAAGGAAAAGGAGGTAGTCTTTGGTTTTTCCTTCTTTGTTATACTCGTCATAGAGAAGCATATTCATTTTCTTCAGACGCAAGTGTTCTGCACAGGTACTGTTTATAATAGGGAGGCAGTTCTTTTTCCCTTGAATAAAGATACCTTTTAGCCTCTCTTCATATATAGCATTTGCGTTGCCCGCGCGGTTTTACGTGCGGAAGACCGCAAGGCACAAAAACGCTAAAGTCCTTACAACAGATTCCGCTTGTTTGTGGCTATTACTATAGCCCCGAACATGTGGAATCCGTCCCTGAAATTGCACTCGGACTATTTTGCGGGACGCATGGTTTTGATCCCTGCAATAGTTTGAACAATGCACATTAAAGTGCATTGTTTTGTATGTTTAGAGCGGTTCCGCACGCGGTCGAATACACATAGATAACCGCTCCTGTGTGAATGGAGCCTTACCTTGGCTGCCTACTTGCTATGTGGCTCTAGCGGCATAAGCTAAAACATTTAGTGCACTTTCAGCTGTCTGTATGTCGGACCCTCTATTTATATTGCTAGAGTTGTTCCATTGAACTGTAGCGCACTGTGTATAAATCTCAGCTTAAAGTAGAAGTGTTGCTGTGGGCACAAGAGAAGCAGGAAAGCTGTACAAGCCTGAACTCTGCTCTCCCGTCTTCCTGTGTGCCTGCTTTGTGTTCATATTAGAAGGGCTGTCAGACTACCACACTCTGCTACAGCAGAGGAGCTGAGCTGCTGAGGATGAATTACTCCACAGTACTTACAGCTATAAGGGTCTGTGATGGCTTGCCTTAAAGATCATTTTCTGCAGAAGAATATGTCAAAATGTAAATGTCCTTAGCTTAAGCACAGTTGTAGTGTATGCTTGGCATTCAAGATTTGGTTGTATAATATACTTTAGATTTTCCAAAACTGTTTTTAGATTTATATACTATTAGATTTTCCAAAACGTGTGAATAAAACACAAAGTGTGGGCAGTAGAAGATGCATAGAGGTGTGCGATCCATCTATTTGGTGTGTACAATGAGAGCCTAAGTTCAGTCTTTATCCAATCAGTCAGGCCCTTGCCTTTAGAAAAAAGTAGCTGCTCTTTAGAATTTAAAGTACAAAGGTAAAATAGGAATTTCTAGAAATTGCAGCATGCTGTGCTTATACTGTGCTACTATTGTGTGCATAGAAGTAGAGTTTTGCAAAGGAGTGAATTGGCTTTTGACCATCCTCTTCCTCTCTCCTTTACAAAACAAGAAGATTGAAGATGACTCGCCTGAGGTACGTTAATGAAGTGTTACATTGTGTGCAGACTTTGCTGAGTATACATGTTTTTTATTTGATTAAAATCCTTCCGATATTTTTATACAAAGATTGATTTTATTGTAATGGAGGGTATACTGTATATCTGAACGTACCAGCGTTGTAGAGACATGCCGACGATCCCCGCCTCTGGAACTCGGGGTGCGAAAAGGGAGCCCAACCAAGCCTTGTGACAGGAGTAGGTAAACTCCGGCACTCCAGCTTGGTGCAACAATCCTATTAGGCACTGCAACACTCTAACAGCCACAGGCATGATTGCCAGAGGCAGATGAATGATGGGATTTGTTTCACCACAGCTGGAGGGTCAGAGTTTGCTTACCCCTGCTCTATGAACTCAGTAGGAAAGAAGGAAGTCGCACACTGATGTCAGATCACATCCACCTTGGACATGGCACACTGCAGCCCTGCTTATGACCATCCCTTTCTAAGATTACACCCGAACAGTTTGAATCACAGAGATAGTGACAGTGACACCACGGATGATATGGAGAGATACATGTGACCAAGCACATATTGGGTGAAACAGAGAGGGGTGTTCCTAGGCAAGGCTGCAGTGTGCTATATTTGGGTTTAATAAAGTTGGACGTGTGACCTCCTGCTTTTTCTATACCAGAGTGGTAGGACATTGGAAGCCAATGGTGTTGGGTGTCTTGTCAGTGCCCGTTTGGGTACCTCTTATGTAAATAGCTGCCATTTGTATTTTTTAACAATTAACATTCACATAAGTTGTCAATCTTTCTGTCAAACATCCGCATAGTTTGGTTTCTTTAATACATGATTCCAGTAAATGCAGAGGTTGTAGAATGTTTTTAGTTTTCTTTGCTATTATTATAAATTTAATGATCATCAAAGTGACAAATAATTTAAGATCTATAGGTGCAAATGTTGCAAACCATGGAAAGACTGATGTATCAAATAGTGATACAAGTAAAGTATAGCATCTGATCTCCTCCTCTGCCACTGACCAATTAGGTTTCAAAGGGTCATGAGTTCTTTTCAAAAGTAGTCTGTTGGATGAACTGAAGTGTTAATTATTCTAGTTTTTCCCAATTCTTCAGGTGATCAGCTTAAATTTTGGTTACATAAAGAAGCATGAAAGGAATAGTTAACATGTTAACCTGGTAGATTTGTAGTTAGGGCAGAGTCCTTACAGAAAAGGGACCCTGTTGTGGCTACAAGACCAGAAGTGAAGGGGGAATCTCCCAACTATGACAAAAAAGCCTCACGGCTTTTGACCATTCCCTACGCTACCAAAAGTGAACAGATACAGTTGTTGCTTTAGAGCTACTTTACTAACATATCCATTATGCCTTTGTTACAAATTGAGTATAAAATCAACTTGTTAACTGGGTTTATTACCTGTTTGCATCCTTATGCTGGTACATGCATTTTAAAGATCCACTGTATCTAAAGAGAGTGATCGATTTGCACTTTGGTGTGGCAGAAAAGTAGAAACTGCTATTTAGTAGGGATGAGTTTGGTTTCGAATCAAGTAGAAAACTGACAATGGTAGCCCAGTCAACTGCAGCTGGGGCATACCTCGTCCTACAGCTGCTTGAAACAAAAGGGCATGAAGCTGGAGACATCATTGACCTTATATAGCCACATTTGGTCAGTGATAATTGACCTAATATGGCCATGTGGTTCATGTAAGGTCAACGATGTCGCCAGGATTCCGCCCCTTGCTTTACATGCAGCTGAGGGATGGAGAATGTCTCGGCCACAGCTGATTGGACTGGCACTGACAGATTCCTTCTGGGTTCAGACAAACTCAAGTTTGGACAAACCCAAGTTTGGATCGAGCCCGAACTCATGCCTATTGTTTAGCTGTGAGAAGTTGTCTAAACAAGTTTCTGCCACCCTCTGCAGGCCAATTTTGACAACCAACAAAGTGGGTATTGTAATACCTGTGCAAAGATAAGAATATTGGGTAATGGCTAGAATATACAACGTTTTTTCTGTTCTTTAGTAACAATGGTGATAAGTATAAGATTCTGGCTGTCAGTGTGCAGCCAATATGAATTGAAAAGATTTATTTCTTCTTTTTTTATTAATGAAGATATTATTTCTATTGCATGCTCTGTGTTTTGTAATTGGATGACCGCTGTTTTTAAGCATATTACTATCTATTTTGTTAAGCGATCTGTTCATGTTCGCTGCATTACAAGTATTTTTTCAGACCTATTCAGTAGAACAAAAGAAAAGTAATGAATATCTTGCTGAGGGTGATCATACATTCTGTCTGCAGGAAGCCGAGCGAATGCTCCACACGGAGGACAGTGACAATGTTCAATTGGCTTATGATGGCAGGAATCTTCTTCAGATTCCAGTGAAGAGCTTAAAGTACAGGTACGCAGCTGGGAATCTTGTTTCTATGATGTCCTTCTTTGGGACTGGTAGGCGGGTACTTTATTTAAAGAGATCCTATCACCAGGCAATTCACTTACACAAAAATCTTCCTATAAGATTATATGTGCATCTAACACATTTCATGCATTTTATTTACATGTAAAAGCCTAGTATAACATAGACATTCAAAAGCTGTGAGACTCCTGCTGGGTGGCTTCATCCTGGATGAGACATAAGCAGCCTCAGAGCTGTCACTCAAATTAAACTTTATAGTATTTCCCTTCAATCCTCCCTGGCAGCTACACAAAAAGGTTATGTAGTGAGGTGAGGGGAGGATGTGGATAGTAATTAGACCCCCACCCCCCCAGAAGTGAAGAGGGCTATGATGTGCAAGGAGGAAGGGGGTCGGAGCTAGAGAATTGACTCTTCTGGGGTAGTCACATTTTCTAGCATGTTCAAAGGCACATTTACAAACGAATGTGAAATAATTTATGGAAAGGACAAAAACTGCATGTAAACATTACAGATACTTGTTTTTTCTGCAATTTTTTTAAAGTTGGTGGCAGGCTCTTTAATATTTGTGCTGCCTAAGGCAATGCACCCTACCATACATGCTCCAACTCTGCATTAATGCCCTTGGTTACTAACATCACCTTTATGTTTATTCTCTAGCCTTGATCCATCAGTTGTAAACATATCAGATGAGATGGCAAAAACAGCACAATGGAAGGCCCTTTCAATGAATCCTGAAAATGCCAAAACCTCCAAGTCTAACCAGAGGTAGCTATTTCACTTACTGTCTAATTACACTTTAGCCAAGGAGAAAGCCAAAGGAGAATTATGAGGTGAGTGATTTTCACTCAGCCTCATAATCTGAGCCGACCTGTGTCAATGAAACTGTCACCGGTCGGCTTAGTAGATCAGGAAGTGAGCGAACACATACCGGCGCTCGCTCACTTCTCGATTTATCCGTGCAGAGAGCCGTGACAGGGGAGGGACTGGATTCCCCCCTCCCCTGTCCGATCCTCCAGCGCTGACTGGCGGAACGGACGGGGGAGGGGGCGGGTACAGCTGGGTCTGCCTCTAGATAGTGAGGGCCAGCTGTCACTCACGCAGCTGGGGTAGCTGTAGCTCGCAGTATACTGAGCTTTGGGTGACGGGAGGACTCTAGTTTGTGTCCTCCCGTTACCCTTAAGAGAACTATGGGGAAAAGCCCTAACCCCATAGTTCTCCTTTAATCCCTGTTCCATTAAAACAAGCATGGGCTCTGAGGGTTGGTTGGTGAATGTAAATTGTGGAGTTGGCTATCAGCAGACAATGCCAATTTGCCCATTTAGGGTGTCTCTTTAAAGCCTAGGGCTTGCACATCGGATGCTTACGTCCTTTAATTCCCTCCTTGTTTGGTAAATTTCCTACAGCATTTAACTGACAGGGTGTCACTAAGACTGAACGCAGGAAATAAATTACACCTGCTTCTTTGCATTATTTCTGATTTATTTATTAGATATTTATGTAAACAGTGGAAAGTACAATTAGATTGCCTCCATGATTTTCATCAATCATTTTTAAACGGTTTTACATTTTTTAGGAATTTTTTAGAAATGTGCAAATGACCTTTTAGTATCAAACAGTTATTATAACTAGAGTTGGAGTTTCTGTATGTGCTACAGCAACCTTTCACATTTCAGGCCACTGTGTAACATGGGGAGCGTTTTGGCTAATCGCTTATTCTCTGCTTACTAATGCAATTAGAGCATATAGGTGACTCAACTTAAGCTTCCGTTGCAGCTTTGGGAAAAAATATCACAAACGGTGGTTACATGTTCCGTCATTGTAATAAATCATGCTATTTTAGAAGTTATTTTAAAGTGAACTTGTCAGGCTAGAAATGTAGGAACTGCCACTGTTGACTTGCTTCTGAAGCTGCAGGCTCCAGGGCTGTCATTCTTATCCTTTCTTTACAATAAGTCACTGACCCGGAACAAGATTGTGCATATTAGGCTTCAGGACTCCTGACTTGCATGCTTGTTTTGGGCCAGTGGTCTCAACAAGTAATGATGCAAGACTGAGAATGGCTTGCCCAGAGCATGCAACTGCTTTGTCCATGAAGGCAAAAACAGAGGGTTCACTTTTATTACTTCCTCGCTAAATGCACATTCACCTTATTTGCTTTGCTCCTCAATGCTTCATTCAGCAGGAGGAACTGTCCTGTGTGAGTTACAAGTGATTCATATTGTAACTTACACCGGGCCAAGAGTCTTTCTTATGACGGTGCCGGTACATGATGACTGGTCCAGCACTGTCGCATTTTCTTTTCTTCACTCCCTGCAGCTAAACGGAGCATTGGAGGAGGGAGGGGAAAGGTGACTGCGTAGTTACCTAAAAAAAACTGTCCCTTAGCCCTGCACGATCAAAGCACCAGTTTGCTTTAAAGTTGATCCCCAACCAAACTATCAACTAGCCTCCCATCACTCCTAATCCACAACAATAGTTTGGTGGAGATCTCCTTTACATAACTAAAACTGTGAAGACAGCTGCACTGAAGACAATGTAATGACGATAATGTGTGCATTTTAGCAAACTGCGCTTTACTTTTTCATGCACAAGCAAGGGTTTCTATTCTTATATGTCTGGCCAAGAAAACAGGGCTAACACAGAGTTGTCTCTGACAGGTTGTAAAAATAATTCAGTGTCATAAAGTGATGGTAAGTGAAAAAGTCTGCTGTAAAACAATGGGACATGTATAAAAGTGCTGAGGAAAAAAAAAAAACCTTCTATAGCTTCGTCAAGGAATATTGCATTAGAAAAATCTGCATGTACCCAAATATTTTTTTAAAAAGCTCTAATAAGCATTGTTTGTGTCTCAAAACGAAATCCTGTTATGCGTCTTTGAAAAACGACAACCCTTTGTTCAGAAAAGATGTTCATTTATGGTGACCCAATGCCGCTTACTGACAGTTCCATATGGAAAAATCTATGTTTGCAGTACTGCATATCATTGCTAAGCAGATCTAAATCCAAAGGAAAAAATCTTGGCTCCCATAATGCAAAAGGAAATGCTACTGTTCTGCACTGTCAGTACTACCGTGTTTCCCCGAAAATAAGACAGTGTCTTATAATTTTTTTTCTACGAAAAAAGACACTAGGTCTTATTTTCGGGGGATGTCTTACCTGTCTGCAGCTGTCCGCTCTGCCGTCCAGGGAGCCACAGACAGGTGGGCGTGCGGGCGGGGGGGGCGTGCCTGGCGTGGGGGGGGGCGGGACGGAGCTGCGGCTAGCGCTCTGATGCCGTCCTGGGAGCCGCTCTGGGTGCTCGTTCAGCCGATCGGAAGGCATTGATGATGAAGAGCCGCTCGGCTCAGTTAAGGATTGGTCGGCGGGCAAGCGGTGGGGGCGTGCGTGCCTGGCGGGGGGGGGCGTGCCTTGCGAGTGGGCGGGAGGCAGCTGAGGCTAGCACTATCTTCAGGGATGTCTGTAATATGAGATCTACCACCGAACTAGGTCTTATTTTCGGGGTAGGTCTTATATTACAGAAACCCCTGAAGATAGTGCTAGGTCTTATTTTCGGGGTAGGTCTTAATTTCGGGGAAACACGGTATATGGTGGAAGGGGTGTGCCCAGACACATAATCTGTAAGAGCTGCACTCAATCTACCGCCCATTGGCTGCTCTCCTGCAATGAAAGGAAATAAAGGTTATCCTTTTTCTATTTTGTCGTTTTTATTTATTTTTTTCAAGTGCTACTTCATTTTAAATGTCAATATGTTCCTTGATCGCAGACCCAATTTATCTTTTATACATGTCCCTCGTGTCAGCCAGTAGCACATGTACACAGCATGTCTGGTATGCATTTGCACAGGCATGCATTTGTTGAAGTCTTTAAGAGTGCAGAGATGTGGAGTGTATCACGTAATACCGTATTTGCCGTCGTATAAGGCGACTGGGCATATAAGACGACCCCCTAATTTTTCTGTTAAAACATAGGTTTTGGGCTATACTCGTCATATAAGACGAGTACAGGCCAAAATAATGTTTAAATGCACCCACTAACCTCCTTGGCGGTTTTCCCGGGTGTGGCTCCGGGGTAATTTTCAGTACCATAAGCGGTAACCCCGGGATTACAGCGTAGCGTCTCTTACCTTGTCCACGATCCCCTCTGTGTCCTCCGTCTTCCGGGTTCCGTCCATTGCGAGTGTCCGCGTCGCAGGGGGTTGGAAGCGGCGGGAATTCTAAAAGGAAAAAAAAATAATAATCAGACCACCAAGGAGGCTAATCCGTCAGCCTACTGGATGTGCGGTAATACTGTATGTACGGTAGCTTAGGCTACATACAGTAAACCGCGCTGAGCCAATCACGGCGAGCGATGTACACAACCTCTGCCAATCCAAGCAGGCTTTTGTATTCATAGAATACATCACTCGCCGTGATTGGCTCAGCGCGGTATACTGTATGTAGCCGAAGCTACCGTACATACAGTATTACCGCACATCCAGCGGGCTGACAAAGGGAGAGATGGGGCATGTCAGACCAGGTCGGTTGCTAAATGTACACTAAGTATGGTATACGCCAGATTTTATACCCGGCGTATAAGACTACCCCCGATTTTCGGGAGTGCAGGGCCCTCCTTACCATCTTGTCTTAAATTGTATTGTGACTGTAATGTCTTCCTTATATTGTAAAGCGCTGTGCAAACTATTGGCGCTATATAAATCCTGTACAATAACAATAATAAAAACTTGTCTTATACGCCGGCAAATACAGCAGTTTTAATTTCTTACCTTTGAAACTGTGGAGTACAAAGCTGGTGTTCATACTGCATTCAAATCAGCCTAGCATCCAAGGCAAACTGGACACCGATGTCTTTATGAAACGTTGGTGAGGCTGGTTATGGCCCAGTAAAACTATTGCTTGTTAGTGAACCTGTCATGTAACATAGGAGGTCACGCCCTCGGAAGAGCAAACCAAGAGACCAGCAGAAGTAAAATTTGCAGAATACATTCCCAGCCAGGTACAGTACAGAAATCCTCCAATACATCCCACAGGAAGATATGAGAGGTGCCGTTTTGTGCCCTCCCATGGTGTAATAATACAGTTAGAAAAAACATGCATGCAAAATGTTTTGCAAAAGAGAATTTCCACTTTAAAAGTGAACGCTTGCTTAAGACTCATTCATGCAGCAACTTGGAGAGGTCCCTACCTCCTGCGCACCCTCTTTTTTACCTGTAACTGTATTCTCAGATATCATCTTCAGCCCCGGAGGTGAGGGCCGACATTGTATATCCTTCATTCTGATATCCCGACTGTTGTGATTTACAAACAACTAGAATGGTGTAACTATTCGCAATCTATCTTGTTCTACCTGTGTTGGCCTGACATCACTATCTATAAATCTGATTGGGTGCTGCAGGTCAGTCTCCAATGTCATCATTGCACTTTACAATAGTTCCAGTGTCGTTTAGGATGTAGGAGACCCCCCTGTTATTGCAAAAACAAGTCTAAAGCAAAGTCCACTTTAGGTTTATTGAGGAACCCATTAAAATACAGTATAGATATATATTAATACTAATTACTCAAGCATGTACATTTTCTGTCCTGTGTACCTTCCTAACATTGTATTGGTTTACAACTTACTAAATCATATGGAATCAGTCTCATCCTCTTTCTGGGATGCATTAACTATCCTGCTTTTAGTGTGTTTGTTTTTTTTTTTTTACAGTATCTTCAAATATGTATTTTAACACCTGATGTTTGCAGATTTTGGAATCCGTATACTTTTCATTTGACTTGGGATCTGTTTATTTTTCACAGCCCTGACAAACCAGTAAATTTAAAAATCACAATTGAAGACGAATCTCTCCGCAAGTACGTGGACGCCGAGACCTCTGTGTAGAGCCGAGTCCAGAAGAGTGTGTGTGTCCTGTATGTATGTACGTCAACGTGAGCGTGAATGTACGTGTTTCCAATCACTATCAGACCATCAAAGTGTGAAAACATTTCCAAATACTGTGTGTACGCCTGATAAATTATTAGCACTGTAAATACTGTATAGGATCTAAAATGGACTGTATCCAGCTGTAATAATATGCCACAGAATGATCACTCAACAATTATTTATTCAATAGGAGTTTTTATAGACCTTTTTTTTAAAATTGATTTTATTGTATATTTAAAAGCCTGTCATCCAGCAATACTGTTTAAATACCTGACAACTCCATTTGTCATTCCCATAACTTCTATATAATTAATTCCCATGTGGATGTATATTTTAATGATTTTTTTTCTTGTATGTTTTTATAGGTTTCTGTAATTTCATATGTCACCCAGCTCATCAGCTCAATCCATTTGCAGTAATACAATAAGGCCAGCATAGTAAGGGACAATTCTAGCAGATTCATTGTTCCTTCATAACAAAAAGGGGGTTATTACTCTTTCAAACAGAACTTAAGGGAAAACAATTCTTAACCCTTGCATTGGGGATAGCCCTCCACACTGCAAGGGTTAAGTGCTCGTTTATATCGTAGTTAAAAAAAGAAAGTTCACCCGAACCTCAGATTTGGCCTGCTGTCACAGCGCTTCCTCCAGCCTGTCTCATCCCCTGACGCAGCGATGGTGTGTCTCTCACGGTCCTCGCGTCCTAAACACGCTGTATAGAACGTGATAACTCGAGGATCCTTAGACTGCTGCAGCAGAGGGGGGAGAGACATTGGAAGGCCCGGTCTAAGTGCAAGCCAGCTCTGAGGAAGGGGTGAGTATAGCTTAACCTAGACACAAACGAGCACTTACCCCCTGCAGTTCTTGTTTAAGATAACCTCATGGGGTTATTGTGTCCGTTTATAAATATGGAAGACTTCATAAAAGCAACGGTGGACTATGCCTGTGTTTCGGTCCAGTGAGATCTGCAAAAATAGCAGCATTTTTGCAGATCACACTGGACCGGAAACGGACACTAATGTGCCACGTGTTGGGGTGCCAGCGATCGCACCAGGGACGTGGCTGCATTGACTTCAGTGTACTTGCACGCCCTATCCCGCCCCTGAACGCAGGGAGCCAGCCAGGTTGCGTTCCAGAGCGCACTCTTCATGGTGTGAACCAGCCCTTACTCAGGCAGAAGAAACAGCAATATGTCACCGGCACACCGAGATCAAGCGTCCAAATGTGTCTCTTTTGTGTGAACACGGCTTATCAAGCTACAGGTAACGTTTCGGGCCTACTTACAGTCCCTTCATCAGACACAGTATGACTTGATGACTTGGTCATGCTATGCCTGAAGAAGGGACCCTATGTGGCCCCAAATATTGCCTGTTGCCAAGCTGTGTTCACACAAATAGACACATTTGGGCGCTTATTCCTGGTGTGCTGGTGACCTGTTGCTGTTTTGTCTGGATTGAGTGGCGCCATCCCCAGTCACTTCAGCACCCATCTATATGGGGTATGCCGGTAAGGAGTGCAGTGGGATCTCTACATAATTTAATTAGGCAGAAGTCCCCTGCAGGCTGGGTATGCTATGAAGATCGCTCAGGTGTTATGCCAAAATCATGGGCATCAAACAACGACCATCTAATGTCTATGGGCATCTTGAAGGAAACCTATTGGGACAAAAATACAGGAGCTGCCAATTCTAAATTGTTTTTGAAGGCTTAATGCGAACCCATACACAGCCAACCTTACCTGTTAAATAGTGCAAGACAAGTCAGTTGTAAATGATATAACCTGCGATTGTTTAAAGCGGAAGTAAAATTGTTTATTAATTAAAAAGCACAGACAGGTAGGATTCTTTTATGACAGAACAGACCCTGTATGTCTGTTCTGCCACAAGCGCTCCTCCCAGTCTGTCAGCGTTTGCTTGCCAAGGTCCTGTACCGCGATAAAGTAACTCTTGCGCACATTTGCGAGAGTTACATCATCCCAGCTAATCAAGAGGCAGAAGACACTGAACCCAGATAAAGAGGAGAGGATGGAAGTGCAGATGAGGCAAGTACTGACATTGCAGCGCTGGAGGGGCATCGCCAGCAAGGTAAGTCTGTCGTAATGTGTTCATATACTGTGGCAAGCACCACCTGGGGGCCCACTATTACAATTTTGTGGTGGCAATTTGCTACTGCTTTAACTATTGCATTCTGCAGTGTCTCTTCCTGTTTCTGACCCACATCCCCTGATGACACTATTAATATAATTCATTTAATAAGAAACAAGAGTTGTCCTGTTTATACTCCTGAGGCTAGAAGAATAGAGTGTGCTTAGGCACTTTTATGTATTTTTGGAAGTGCCCTGCTGCTTCTCGTCGTGAATTGATGCTCCCATTGCTGGCTTGTTTTGCAAAAGTTCAAGCTGCAAGGCTGCCATCTTGATTCTAGCTTCACCACCTAGTAAGGCACTGACCTGAAAAATACATGCTTGATGGGAGTCTATATTTTGTGGACCATACTGTCTGCACGCTTGTTCCAAGATTCACTAGGCAGCAAAGCCAGGCTTAGAATGACATCCCTTAATCCTGTACCCTAAAGAAAAAATCAGAATGGCAGCTTTCACATTCCATCTTCACAAGTTCACTTTGTCAATTGGTCAGTATAACAGCAAGGCAATTAGCACATTAAAAAGGAACTTGGCTGTGGCGGCCCGGTATTTTTCTCACTACAGGTTTCTTTTAAAGTGTCTCGGTCACTCAACCATGTCATACAACACCTTTTCAAGCTTTTCTGTCACCATTAGGGAAAAATACCAGGTGTGCAGAGCGAGCACCTAGAGTTGTAGGAGCTTTGCATGTTTAGAACTGCATGTACATTTTACCTGGTAGATTTCTTTTTATTAACGTGACAGTCACTTTAAGGAGTTGTATTCTTAAGCCATGCCTGCTTTACCTTCTTCAATGAAGATTCCACTTCATTTACTATGTGTTCTCTGCAGTAGATGTAGGTTTCAGGATTCATTAGTCACCACTGGGGGAACCGCAGACACTCTTTGAAGTACATCAACCATGTAGCCAGTAATGTGTACAGGTAGTGTATGTTCTTCATGATGACCTTTTGTGTGAAGACCCAGAATACGCATACAAAGACTGGTGTACCATAACTCATACAAGCCATAAGAAGTATTTCTTAGTGATTTGCTTCACTATCGTTCAGCATGTATTAGCCATTTGTTTCTGTAGATAGTTTGACTCGTCCTAGATCAGCCTGCGTTTTGTACAAAATAAGGCTACTGAATAGCCATTCAAGTGCAGTCATGACCTATATTGCTATTTTCTAAAGCTTGATATGGGCCCAGGGCTCATCTCAATGACCTAACTCAGGTGTTTTGTGCAATATGCCGCAACAGTGCTTAGTAGGTCCCTGTGTAGGACCTTTTTATAATCCTTTCTTGCCAAATGTGCTACAAAGAATTGATGTGGCAGTTTCATTGTAGCTGTTGTGTGAAATTCTTTACTAGGCTGCATAGGATGGCGCTGTGAAATATGTAGCGCCCTGTCAGTTTAGCAGTGACTGTTAGAGATATTTTTGTATTTCAATGATGAAATGATGTTGATTTGATATTTAAGGGGATGTTTACTAAGGTTGAGACCTTTTCCCTTCATGTTTCAACCTGAACAGTAGGGGCATTGATATATAAAACCGTGAATCTGACTTTTACCAGACGTTCACTGTAGGTAAATCTTCCAGGTGCATGTGTTTTTGAATGACGATGATTCACCACTAGTGAATGTTTGGTGACGGTCACCTTTGCTGCTTTAAACATGAGCCCCTATGTTCTGCTTTTTTGTTTTCATGCTGTAAACACCTCCTACTCTAAAGCATGGGGTTATTATGTGAATGATGTACATTATTGGTTCCTCTGTTATTACTAGCACAAATCCTTAATTGCTGAAAGGAAATTTAATTTGAAGGGATGGTGAATATTGCAGTGTTGTATCATTTTCTGATAATTAAGGAAGGCGAGCATCTGCCATCCCTTGAAATGTATTTCAAGGTATTTTTTTGCTAGTTTTATATGTACTGTACATATGTACTGTATATTCCGAGATGACGTGTAACAAAACTTGGCTTTCTCCCTATTTTTCATTTGTGTTTGCTCAATAGAAGACCATTATCATCCCAATAAGCACAAGGCTTTTCCATTGGTTAGTCAATGCCAGTTGCCATTATATTGTAGCAATACATCAGTCAATAGCTTTAGAGATTACAAAGCCCTTTCATAGCATACAGAGATCTGAATCCTAGGTTCACCTTATTTGTAAATGGAAAGAGCCATACGGAGTGTATATTTCACACAGACCATTTATCATTTTTGGTAGGCAAAAGTACTTTCTAGATGCTTTTGGACACATCGGTCTTCGGAGAATATTTTTCAACACTTTTTTGCAGATAGGTTGCCTTGGTTCAGTAAGTGTAATGATTGGTGGATTCCATTCCCAGGCTGGTATTTGGGCTTCTTGTACACATCACTTAGATGCTGCATGCTATATTTAAGAAACACTAAGTACATGGATAGGTGCTGATGTGCATTGCGCACTGCTGTCATCACAGGATTAAGTGATGGCCATCAGTGGTTGGGTTGACATGAATGCAGTGCTCTTGTGTGTGTACATGGCCTTATACAAGAAACCTTAAACAGCATTCCTAAATTCAAATAGACCTATTTAGAGTCATGTTTCCTAGTGTTCTCGATTATAGTTTAGCTGCTTAAGATAAGCTTTCATATATGTCTATTTGGATGATGTGCGTTCTTGTATTTTTAAATCTGGACTGTTATGGTTGTCAAGCTATGGCGTCAACATTTACTGTGAAAATGACCATATCATTTTCTGTATGGGCATATTAACAAAATTGAAATGTTACCCATAGCTTGTATCTGTGTGAGACGGCCATTGTGTAGCACTCAGATAACAAAGTAGGCCATAAAACACAGACCCAGATAAGTCAGATATTGTGTAATTAGGTTTGAGAACATCTATGATGTGCCAAGTGCTGGATCCCTATAACAGTTGGTTGCAAATTATTACAATGAATTAGTGGCTCTGGGCTACTTAATTTAGTCCTTGTTGAATTACCCCAGATGTCTCTGTGATGTCACAAGCTTGTAGTTAATTACAGTCTCTCAGCTAAAAAGGTTTTATTTCATATTTGTGGACCTTTGTTTTTACTTTGAACGCAGTCAGTTTATTCTTAAGTCTGCTTTAAAGGTTCCAAATTGTTATATTTTTTATATTCTGGGTGGTGATGAGCTTTAGCTTTTTTTTTTCTATTTTAATTTCACCAAGATCTATCCACTTTTATGATCAGTCTCCTTTATAGAGTTACTAATAGCGAAAATGCCAATAAAATGTTTTTCCTTCATTTTGTACTTTTTATTTCTTGTGTTGCGGCAGCA